GTCTCCCAGGCCTGTCACTGGTGGTGTCCACCCTTTTCTGCTGGCCATGTAGCATTTCTATTCATTTGTCTGCCACATCTGTCACTGCTGGTGTCCGCCCCTTTCCGCTGGCCATGTAGCATTTCTATTCATTTGTCTGTCACTGCTGTGTCCCTCTCTGCCTTGCAATCCTTTACACTTGTCTCCCAGCTCTGGACGTCGCAAGCTCTAGTTTCGATTTTGAAAAACACAAACTGTTTGGGGTCTACGGTGGTGTAATTTTCCTTTTCGGGCAAGCGTTGGATGAATGACCGGATTGGATTTCGGCGGCGTGGCAGCGATCTCTCTGTTCAGTTGGGGCGGAGGGCATACGTCAGGCACCAAGAATCATCCTCATGCCTTTATTTCTTGTTCTCACGTGGTCAGCTGCCCGCTGATTGAGCAGCATGACCAGCATCATGTTCGCACTTGAAGAATAATTCCCCAAAAGGTTTGCTGTTGGGGCTTGTCAATTCTTTCTTAAGATGTGTCCGCCCGCTCTGTACTGCTGTGTCCGTCTCTGCCTTGCAATCCTTTACATTTGTCTCCCAGCTCTGGACGTCGCAAGCTCTAGTTTAACTGTTTGGGATCTACGGTGGTGTAATTCCGACGTGTCTACGGGGGTACTTGCTGATCTTGCGGCCGGATTGCCGTTGGTTTTGTTCTGCCGCAACAAACTAACTTTTACAAGCGCGCAAGCAGGGGTACATGAATCAATGAAACAATTCCTTGGTGGGCACTTTTGGAATTGTGCCCCTATGTTTGGGAACCCTTGTTAGTTGGGGCGTACAACCATGCGAAGAAAGTGTATTCCTGGTATTGCTTTTGGCGCTTTTCTTGTATTTTTTGGTTAGCCTGGAGCTGGAAAGAGGGGTTTCATGGAAATATGCCGAGCGGATCATGTAGGGCGCCGCTACACTCGATCACGAGTGGCGTAGTGCCGCGTGCTCAAGGGCCTGAGGGTCATTGAAATGAGAAATGCTGGGGGGTCTTGATCGTGTTCACAGCCAAGAACTGAATGCATTCATGCGAAAAAATCGGGATGAGCGATAGTGCGTTGATGGCCCCCTTTAACGGGGCCTTAGTCAAGAAGCCCTTACCTTCTAGTTTGTCTTCAATTCTCGCTTGAGGGACGGAGAAACTGTACGTCCCAACTTCAAGACTGGCAACGCGAGTCGGATGGCCCCGCTGTCCCCAGTCTCTGCCCAACAGCAATGCCTCTGTCTTGGCCTTCCGGGCTGCTCCAGAGGTGGGGCGTGTGCCACATTGTCCACGGCGTGTCATTTTCTTAAGTTTGACTCATTCCCGTAGACTTCTGTGAATCGGTGGATGATTAGTAACGGTAGACATGTTTTTTTTAAGCAAGTTTGCGTAGTGTTTGTTTAGACTTAGATGCAGATTTGATCTATATATATATATAAGTTCAGAGGAGGTTCAAGAGCAGGTTCCCGAACAATTTCCGGAGCAGGTTTCAGAGTAGGTTGCGGAGCAGGTGCCGCAGCAAGTTCTGCCAGAGCGAGGTGCCGGAGCATGCCAGAGCAGGTTTCGGAGCAAGTACCTGATGTTCCGGAATAGGTGCCGGAGCAAGTCCAGAGGAACCAGTAATTGGGCCAAGTTCTGGAACAGATCCTATAGGAGTCCGCCTCCAGCTTCGCATTTACCCTGATATTGTCACGATGTAGTGGTGACGTGTGATTGTGCTGGCATGGTGTCATGTTGACATGTTGTCATTCCATTGTACCATGCTCGCATGGTGTGCGCTGTCACGTTGCTGTCATCGGACGTGCTGCTTCTGGCTGACGTGCTAGCATACTGTCCTGCTAACACGGTGTCACGGTGGCGTGTTGGATTCTATTATAGTGTTTTTTCACGGACGCGCTGACATGCTCTGTATGTCATATTGACGTGTTCTCAAGCTGTCGCGCTGATATGTTATCATACTGGCATACTGACACGGGTCACGCTAGCATGGTGGCTCTTGTCACACTGGGATGGTGACATCGGGTCACGCGTGCGGCAAACTCCAGAGCTGGTTCGGGGCAGCTTCCACGGTTGCACCGCTGTCATGCATGCGCGTATGCGGGCGCACGTGCCTGATGCTTGGATGGCGCGTTGATGAGGGCCATGTCTTTCGCACCATCATCTTACAAACGGGGATTTTCGTGGGCCTTTTGAAGTCCTGTTGCGCCAGCTCAGCTGCTTTGGGAATTGGCCTGCTAACCCCTCCGGTTTTGCGCGGGGTTTTGCCCGAGGGTGGTTTGGGATTGTGGTACCATTCTTCGTTTTCACCTGCCCTTCAGTTAGCGTGTTTTCTCCTTTTCTTCGGCCTTCTTCTTGAAGGTCTACTTTCAAGTGATTGATCGATCCTGGAGCCTTGGTTCCAGTCACCACTTCGGCTGAGATATGTCAGCGCGGCCCTATACACAATCGTTTTCCCCAAGCAGCTTTGCTGTCAAAAACCGTCAATTCAGGCGCGATCCTGGACCACAATCATTTCTTGCCATTTTTTTTTAAATGTCCTTCTGTATGCTGGGCTGAGATGGCTCTTCTTTGTCTCCTTTGTGTCGGGAGATGATTTTGCTTGGCTGCCTTGTCCACCATTGTCTCCCATTGCTCTTCTGGGTGCTGGTCTGATTCTGCTTTGTTTCCCATGGCTCTTCTTGGTCAGCTGCTCTTCTGGATGCTGGGCTTTGCAGTGCTTCGTCTTCCTTTGCTTCCTTTGTCTTCCATGATCCTTTTGGATGCTGGGCCGAGATTTCTGGGGAAATGATTTTGCTTCGCTCCTTTGGCCCTTTGTCTACCTTTCTCTCCCATGGCTGTTCCGGGTGCAGGGCTGACGTGGTTCCATCCCTTTGTCTCACATGGCTCTTCTGGTTGCTGGGCTGAGATGATTTTTCCTTGTGTGAGACGATTCTGCGTTGTCGCCCTTTGCCTCACATGGCTCTTCTGGGTGGCGTACGGCGATTTTGCTTTGTCTCGCTGTCTCATCCTTCATACCCCATGGCTTTCTGGATGGTGGGCTGATGTGATTCTTGTTTGCGTGCTGGGCCAAGATGTTTCTGCTTTGTCTCCCTTTGTCTTCATGGCTCTTCTTGGATGAATAGAAACATGACGCTGCAGTTGCTGTTTGGGTCGATGCTGGTTTGCTTTTTTGTTGGTACCTGGGACAGGCGTTCCGCAAACTGTTGAAGCTTGAGGGCGTGCAGCTTTCGGGCGAGAACCAGGCTAGCCACGAAGTCAGTCAGCGCAAGCCAGGCTGTTTTCATTGCGTGTATTGGTATGACAACGGTTTGCAACGTCAGTTTATTCCAGCTGGTTTGACAACCTTGGGTTCTTCCAGGGTCTTGTGATTGCACCGGATGCAACATGACATTGCCCGTATTGTCACCTTTAGCCTTGGTGTTTGCTTGGATGCACGTTTTTCTCACCAACAGAAGTGCAATTGCGCTGTTGCCTATGCCGCTGCAGCACTTGTTCGGCTTGCAGAGGACTGGAATACCTTTTTTTTTATAGTTGGATTGGACACTTTATTTGTTTTCAAAAACTGTGGTTTCTCAGGAGAACCCAAAGCTGGCCCTGGCAGTCCAACCTTGGTGCCCTAGTGCTGCTCTGTGAGTTAGCTGACTGTACATTGCGCCTGATTCTAAGGTGGCTGGTGTATGGTGTTGATTGGAAGAACCTCTTGAAAGATGGCTGGGGAGGGATCTTTGGGCGGAGGACTTAGACCGCTGCAGACCAGACTGTGTATGATTCCGAACCGGACGAGACACGACGCGTACATTCTGGAACAACTGCTGTTGCCAACTGCAGACTTTTGCCGCAAACTGCTAGCCACAAAAGATGGCGTATCTCGAACGATCGGCGCCACATGCTCGGCGTAGGAGCAGCGCTGTGCCACTAAACGTGTAAAGCTAGTGGCAAAAAAGTGATTGGCTAGACAGGCGCTGGTCTAAACACTTGCTGCATAATACTGCTGACTCTCGGGTCATATGAACGCGTGGCCAAAGTGACAGCCATGTGCAAACATTATGTCAAGCATGGTAAAAACACAAACATGGTGCGACCCCGGCTCAATCCTTGGCAGGCCGGAAGAGCGCCGTTGTGGTCTGTCATTTGCAAAATTCCCAAGCTCCCACCCCTAAAAGAGGAAGATGGCGGCTCGTCCACCACTTTGTCTTAATGTGTCTGATCTGTGGTAAATGCCACGCTCGTGAGTTGGCGGGTATAAATTTGTCGCCGCACGGTGTAGTTTGGCACGCTGAACGGCGTTGGCGTGTTGGTCAAGCAGCGAGTGCCACCGACATCGTCGAACTGTGTAAGAGCGTCCAGTCCAGAAATGCAAGACTGTGAGGCACATTGCAATGACCGTCTCAAGTTTTCCAGGGCATTTTAGGAGATCGCATCGTGGAAGAGATGCAGCCTTTTGCTTCAGTTCCACAAGCAGTAGGGTATTTCCGCATCCGGTGTAGGTCAGTGTCTCCCCCAACCACTGCAAACTACATAATGAAAAGGCACACGGTCCTTTCACAAAAGTGGATGCGTGGTGCAGGCAGTAACCACGGTGAAACATCGAGGTTCAGTTCAACAGCCACACCACCAGGTCTCGACCCACCACGGCTAACAACAAAAGATGTCAAAAACGGAACAAGATCACAGTTGTTTGGATGTAGATTGAACGTGTTCCCTTCCCTCCTGCTAAAATGTTGCACCCTGTGCAGTCAGTTGTTTAGCTGCAGCACGTTTTCAGGTGCAAAGAGTCAGAACCCCCGTGCTTCCCAAGACATTTGATGTGGTATTGACATGCATTCAGGAATTTATCGCGTTTCTTGAGGTTTTTTGGCTTGCCGCTTTCACAGTTGTTGTCTTGAAGGTGGCTAAACCGATTTGCTTTGGAGCTGGAAGGCTGGCAGTCAGTCTGAAATTGTTGGAGGCTCCATGTTTAACTTTCGTGAAGCAGTGGCGAAAGACAGTTGGATCCAAGTGGTCGATGGAAGGTCCTCAAGTCGACGACAGCGTTGACATGCTTGAAGAGGCTGGAATCTAATTTGGGAGCAAACAGTTGCTGCTTTTTGCTGTTTGCTCACGACATTTCTGGACGTTTGCTCACGACCGATTGGGACCCAGGGGGGCCTGGTGTCTCCCTCTTACTTGCAAGGGTAAAGGAAGGCCTAGGTTTCAGGTCGACTTTCTCATAGCATTTGCCACTTCAGACTAAGACTAGTCGTAAGTAGCATTAGTGGACCAGTAGCTGAAGTCCAGTCAGCATATGGCGAGGCTGACCTTGACCAGCGACAGAGGGAGATGATGGATGTAATCTCAGCAGAGCAAGCAGAGGCCTGCGATGCCGAGGGCCGAGGACTTGTTTTGCACATTGTTCCCCAATAGCCATGCGATGGGGTCTTGCAAAGCTAATGGGCTGACGGGCCTTGTGCCTTCTTGGCATGGTGTCTCGGTGTGGTTTTGATGGTGTCCCGGTCCTGTTCTGATGGAGTTCCGAAATGTAGTTGGCTCCAAAGTGACCATGATCCATGAGCCACCTTTATTTTTCAGGCTACTGTCGCGCTTCAAAGCCGCTCGTGTGAAAAGGTGCTTTGTGTCCTGGTTAGAATGTCGCTATTGGGGTCTTCAGATGGGCTAATTTCATTACAGACATTCTTTTTTGCTAGCGTGCCAACTGCGGTCTCAATTCTCAATGGACCAGTTTGGAGGCGCGCAAGATCATGGATAGCCTTCAACGAGTTGGTCAAGGCCAAATGCTTTACTGTATATTTCTATGTATAGTTTATGTTTCTTCGCCACAATTATTGTTCCCGCTATCGGTGCTCCTCCTGTTCTGGTCTTTGTTGTTGCTGCAATGCGGCTCCTAGATGTATTTTGTGTTTTGAGTGGCACTGTTTGTATAGTACTTTGGAGTACTAGAATCAGCAGTGCAGTCGTCCCAAGCGCAGCTGCGACGATAGTCACGAGGGTGAGAAGAAAATCGTAAAATTATTCTGCAGGAAATTCGATAACCTACAGTGACAGGAGATGCAGGCTTTCCCCACCGAGGCAACTTGCAGATACGATCCACGTTGTGCGCCTCCAACCCTTTCATGCATGTTACCTGGGTACTAGAGGTTTGAAACTCAAGATGAACAAGATCACAGGAGGCACATCTCCAGAATCAGTTGATCCTGCTTTGAACCCAATTAAATATAGGCAAGCGCAGACCCCAAACAGCATCATTTTTTGGCGTCAGCTTTTTTTCCTGTCGCTTCCAGCTGTTTGGGAACAGCCTTGATTGAACACAGTTTCTGATTCCCTGGCCACGTGTGCCAAAACGAAGGGGTATATGTCAAAAGAAACTCCGAGGATGATATCAAATCTGAGGGGCAACGCCCGGACACAGGGTTCAGGGGATGACCAGGCCAGAGACTGATCAGTGCTTTTTCCTCTACAAGTAGAGAGAACACCAACAGTAGACTTTTTGGTTAAGAAAGCTGTGTACATCCAGCAAAACAGTGACAAAGTACCAGCAGGAGTTCAGGTGTTACACTGCAACACCTGTGTGAATGGCTTGCAGACACGGGAAACTAACTGCCCATGAGCACACTCATTTTGACTTCACCTATGTAGTGGGAGGCCTTGAAGCACTTGTCAGTCTCAAAGGTGATTGGCTAAGCTCCTGCCCCCCGGAGTCACTGCCTGAAATTCAAGTCGTAGTTAAAACGAGCTCGTTGAGCCCACCTGGAGACTTGACTGTTTGTGTCCTTGCGGAATGGACCTCCTTTTTTCCACGAACTACGCTTCGGCTGATCCATGTCAGATAGCTGAGTGCTGCCGCGCTGAAAGTATTTTCTCGGACAAGATAGTACAGGCAACACATGCAACAACCAACTCAGCTGTAACACATGCTTTTAGGTTCAAGATCTGAGCCTTTGCAACCCAAAGTAGCAAAGATGTAGTGGCCTTGAACTCTTCGATGGTGTTGAATTACGAAGGAAGTCATCTATGACAAGTTGAAGCTCTCTCAACACATATTTTCTGGTCACCCGACGTAGAGAGCACGACCCGAATCGCAGATTCAGCAGATGACAATTGCACCGCCAGGAAGGTTCACGCTGGTTTTTTCCTAGTCATATATACAAATATAGGTCGTGTGGATTTTTCTGCATGGCCACAGTTGCAGTCGCCAGCAGCAGCAGCAGCAGCAGTTGTTGCAGCAGTTGTTGCAGCAGTTGTTGCAGCAGTTGTTGCGTATACTGAAATCAGATAAAAGCGTCCGCCGCCCACCTATGTGTTTTTGCCATCCATCTCCTGCCTGTTTTGAAGAAGGGAAGAACGGTGAGTCTGCCATATATATATATATATAGATTATTGATGTTCCGTGATCTTTTTGTAGCTGCTGTTGTGCTGTGCTTGCTTTGTTGTTGCAGTCTTTGTCCTGGGTGCTCAACTGTCGCAGTCACTCTTCTGAGCTTGCTACACGCATTGCGGACTCACGGCACCTTCGGAAGGGCACGGAGCCTCAAAACGTTCCAACAAAGACTGAAGGGCATCGACTTCAATCTTTAAAGGTCATTGGAGTGAACCATTTTGTTCGGGCAGTCGACAAGATCTGGTATTATGGTATGGTTCATGATGCTGTTCTTCCAAAGGACAACAAAACCAATAAGCGAACAAAGTGGCTCAACGTGTATTTATCGCTGCCATCAAACTCTTCATCCGTCAGGAGTTGTCATCGAACCATTTTCATAGTTGGCGGTAGCCAACAAAGGAAGCTAACTAGCCCAGACAGGTATGTCTAGGTGGCCAGAATTGCATCAGTGAATTTGCTCGTGCCAAGATTTGGAAGAAGTTGAACAGCGACTTGGCCTGGCGAAAGCACGTAGCTTGTCTCAAGCAGGTGTTGGAACCAAGGTTTGGCAAAGTGGATGAAACAGGCTTCGCAATCTGTTGACCTTGGAAGAGGTATGCTCAAACTTCGAAATGTCTTCTTTAATGAGTGGTCCTGCGCGAAGCTAGAAATAGGTCTGATTTTGTCCGAGAATTTTGTGAATGGTTTCACTACTTCAATTGCGAGTCACGTGTTGCCTTCTTGGTTTCCTTGCTGCTTTCTGTTGAGATGTTCGACATTTGCCGCTCGACTCCCAAAAAAGGACGCTGCATGCTCCGGTTGGTTTGCCTTTGTCCCAAATGCGTGGCGAAGGGTTCTCGTTTATCTTTAGGGGTCTGGGGGTAGAGCTGTGTTCGTGTGACGTTGCTTTCGGCCGCAGCCATCCGCAACTCTTTTGAATGTGATAGATAGGCCTTGCGGAGCTTTTGAAGGAGGTTTTGGACGGAAGTGTGGAGGATGATTCTGCTGCGCACGTGTAGCCTTTTGTGGAGGTATTGAGTGTCACTGTGCAAGGCCGTTCCCTCGAAGCTGTGTTTTCGTGGCAGGTCTCAACTCAAATGGCAGTTTTTCATGATGTGAGTGTGCTCCGCAAGTGTCAGAAACCGTTAGTGTGGCGCAAAACTTGTCGAATTTTAGATACGAAGATGTGATGTTGTAGCTTTTCGCGGCAGGCGCAGCGCTCTGTGTGTGTGTTGGAGGTGTGGAGTGTGGAAGTTGAATGTCCGCTGCAGGCGCGAGAAATTGTGAGCTTGTGATATTCACAGCGCTTCGCGCTCGAAGCCGCCCGCACGGAGTGTGTGTGTCTGTTTGTCTCGGTCGGTCTGTCTCGGTCTCGGTCTGTCTGTCTCGGTCTCGGGCACTCACAGGCCTTCCTCCCCCTAGCTAACACTTGGGACTATTCTTGCGGCTTACGCGATACCTCCACAACGCCTCGGCACCTTCGGCGCGGGCGGACTTAGCGGAGGTGAATGTTGGTGTGCCATCGGTATTGGCATTTCTGCGGCTGTGGCTTTGAGGGGCTGGGCTCTGGACTGCAAAGCTGCTTGGCAGGACACATTTTGGAGACTTTGACTCGTACGAAATGTACGTTTTGGAGGCTTGGCGTGGGACGACATCTTGTACGAAACGCTCGTTCTCAAGACTTGGCGCGTGACCCAACACAAAACGCTGGCTTTGGAGACGTGGCGTGGGACTTTTTTGAAAACATTTTTCTGAACAAGTCTTTTGCGAAATGGTCAGTGCTGCAACTTCCTAGTGCAAATGTCGTGCTGGAAGTAGCTTCTTCTGCAAGTTCCGGGCTTGAGACTGTGTGGTGCAGATTTGGTCCGGAGAGTAGGTTCTGCGAGATGCGCGCTCAGAAGTCTTGGTGGATTGGGAAACGTGCGTGTGTAAACGCGGCGTGTCGCTGTGAGCGGGATGACTAGAGGTGTCATGTCACATGGTTACATCTAGTCCGTGGCGCAAGAGGCCGCGAAATTACGTCCTGATGTCGCTGTGCCATGCGGTTTGGCGGCCTCGGAGGAAAGTGGCCTTGTGTGGCTCAGTGCCATTGGGGAACGGAAAAGATGTGTGTGTGTAATCACGGAGTGTCGCTGGTGAGGATTTGTGGTCGCCGCTGAAGAGTGTCCCACAAGAGTGTCCGACCTGAGTGTCGCACAAAAAGTCTTGTGGGGCTTACAAGAGTGTCCGACAAGAGTGCCGCGCAAGAGTGTACCACAAAGTGTCCCGCCAGAGAGTGTCTTACAAGAGTGTCCCACAAGAGTGTCCCACAAGAGCGTGCTACAAGAGTGTCCTACAAGAAGGTCCCAGAAAATTGTCCCTCAAGAGTGTTGCGCAGGAGTGTCAAACAATGTTTGGCCGTAAAAATAACCCTTTGAGTGTCTGCACCCACGCGCAACGCAGAGTAAAGCAGTGTTTTGTTCCGGTAGCTTCTGCCGTAGGGGCATCGATCATATTTGTCACCGAGGGCCAGAAGTGTGTGGTCACTCGGGGAACCGATGATCAAGGAAGGCACAGTTGCGGCCAACAAAATGTTGGATATTGTTTTTCCATCCCTGATGAGGTGGATTTGTGAGCCTTGGACGTATCACATAGATGCGAATTTCTCCTCTCTTCTTCCCAAGTACAAGCAAGCCGCAGGCCTGGGTGTGTTTTTAAATCGCTTCTCAATATCTCAAAATCGCTCTCACTCGATCAATGGTGGCGTTGTTTTGAATATTTGCGCATAGCACATTCCCAGAGTACTCTGGTGTCAGGTTTGAATGGCGTGGGTGAGTCAAGGGTGGCAGTTTGTGTGCGGGGCCAAGATCGCCGGATCTGTGAAATCATGTTTGTGACCTAGCGAGGTCCTCGGCGCACCTCGGACAGTGGTGAAGACCTACCCATCTACTCGAGAAAATGAACGGCTCTTGGATCATTCTTGGGGCTGAGTTCGTTGGACCTGTGAACTGCGACGCATTGAACATATGAACCAGCCAAGACATTGAGACAAGTTATAACTATGTCCTCTCCTTTTGAGAGGTTGTGCGGGCGCTTTCCGCCGATACCTTCGTCTATGTGGTCCTGGCATGATCTTGCTTTCGATTGAAAGATATGATTATTTAAAGGCTTGCGCCTAACAGCCGGGCGCCGGCCCACTTGGGTCTGTGTAGGGCTGGGTCGGGTTCACGTTAAGCTATCGGGGGCATACTGGGCCCTGGGTGGCGCCGGAAACTGGTCCGCGTTGGAGACCGGGGCCCTATATTGAGCAAAGTTAAGCTATCTGGTGCGCATCTTGGCCCTAGGTTGGGCCAAGTGGGGCCCATGTGGTCTATGTCGGGCACATCTGGAGCCCATGTTGAGCCTATGTTGGGCCTATGCAGGGCACGGGCTCCGTGGCCCCGTGGCCGGCGCCCGGATTTATGAGGCTTACGCCTGACAGCCGGGCGCCGGCCTATGTGGGTATGTGTATAGGGCGTCTCTGTCTCCGTCTCGGTGTCTGTCGGTATCTGTCTCGGTTTCTGTCTCTGCCACAAGGTCGTGGGAGAGCATCGCTTCCCCACTACGGGGACCGGGACTTCGGGCGTCCCGGTAGCATCCTTCTCGAGAAGGGGCCTGGCCGCCTGGGCGTATACCTGGTATACGCCGAAGTCGGGAGAGCCGTCTTGCGCGCCTCTCTCTCTCTCTCTTTGAGACTTGGTGGGGCCTATATTGAGCAAAGTTAAGCTATCTGGTGCGCATCTTGGCCTTAGGTTGGGCCAAGTAGGGCCCATGTGGTCTATGTTGGGCACATCTTGGGCCCAACTTGAGCCTATGTTGGGCCTAGGTTGGCCTATGTTAGGCCTATGTTGGCCTAGGTTGGGCCTATGTTGGGCCTTTGTTGGCGTATGTTGGCCCCATGTTGGCCTATGTTGGCCCTATGTTGAGTTGGGCATATGTTGGCTATCTTGGGCCTATGTTGGGGATATGTTAGGCAATTTATGTGGAACTATTATTCCGATACAACTTTTTACAATTTTTTCCATCCCGCAAAGCAAAACCATGGAAAAAACCGACGTTTTTTTTTTAACATCGCCAAGATGAAATTCTAGGCCGCCGAGGGGCCCAAAACCCTGTAAAACACAGTGTTTTTTATATTTCACACACGCACGAAACACTGTAAATTACATAGAAATCTGTCGACCGGGGGTCGGGCGGGGGTATCACCGCGGTCGACCAAAAGGGTCGGCGGCAGGGGCGGCGAGCGTTTTTGACCTTCGGTTACCAACCGAAGGCCTCCGGCAAGGGAACGTGCGCGTGGCCGGCGCCCGGATTTAAAGGCTTACGCCTAACAGCCGGGCGCCGGCCCACTTGGGTCTGTGTAGGGCTGGGTCGGGTGCGCGTTAAGCTATCGGGGGCATACCGGGCCCTGGCGGTGCCGGAAACTGGCCTTTAATCATTTCTGATGCTGGAACTGATACTTTCAGCACATTTCATTTACATCTACGCGCCCAGATGTTTGCCAACAAGCGCGAATATGGCTTGAGTATCCATGTGTCCAATGGAACTCGCAGGATTCGCAGCCCAACCACTCATGGAATTGACCTAATCATCACACGCACAAACACATTGGAGATAGTAGGTCAGATCCGTCCATGCTGTCCTTTGGAGTTGTATTACTGGTTTCTGAAATTCTCTGGTGAACTCCTTGGGGCAGGATTCGGCGATGAAGGCGAGAGAGCTCGAACGTGTGTAAGCTCTTGTCTTCCAGTGTCAAGGCTTTCGCGAAAATTCCCCCCACATGCTTAGAGAGGATAGTCGCAGAGGCATAGAGTCCTGAACAGAATGGCCCAAGCATGCGCCATCCACTGGCCTCCTCTCACTGGCAGTATGAGTGTCCCGGATGCTCTTGGCCAGGATTGACATGTGAAACGCACAATATGTTATTGCAAGTGCTGGTCTTGGCCTTTAGGCTGGGTTTAGATGGCAAGTGGAAGCCATTTCTGCTAAAAGGACCGCGTACCTCTAAGAGAGAACAGTGCCTTGAAAATCAGCCCCCATCTTCAATATGTTCCCCATGTACTTTGGAGTGCGCGCTACAGTATGTTACAACGGTTCTTATGAAAGGAAGATGTGTGTGGTCAACGTGTCCTGTCTGTTTGTTCATTTGGTTTCAGTGGAGGTTTGGTTTCAGTGAAGCGCAGCGCGCTGGGCTCCATGCGGCCCTGTAGACTGCCCAAAACGGGCTGGTGTCGCTGCGAAGGGTTTCAGGCCAGGCAAAC